TTTTTTTTTTTTTTTTTTTTTTTTTTTTTTTTTTTTTTTTTTTTTTTTTTTTTTTTTTTTTTTTTTTTTTTTTTAATAGCAATAGTTCATGTTACTCTTTTTCTCACATTACCACATTGTATGGTTACCCATTAAACCTCGTCTTGATCTACGATTACATGTAAATTAAGATTTCTTGTCGGTGACCTAAAATAAAACGAAAATTGCGACGGCTCACGTGAAAAAAAATCGTTTTGTTCAAAACTCTATTGTCTCTGTTGACGGCGAGGGTCTCTAAATGCTCGTACATCAGCTGTACCATTTGCTTAAATGAGCCTTGAAATATATTTGACACAGTACGTACAATCGGCATTCCAATTATGGATTTTGCAATACTTGGAGTGACGATGAAGCGGAAGTCGAACTGAGGGTGGAACCAAACTCCCGTTGCGAGAATAAGAGCCAAAATCGCGTGTCCGTCCCGCTAGAACGCATTACTCTCCCCCGACAGGCGCGAGCTGTTGCAAATCAGCCCAACAAGCCCCTTCCCCCTTCCCAAGGAAAAGCAAGCAGGCGGTAAGTAATATTAATGACGGCTCGTTTTCCCTCGCGAAATTTTCGGATATCAATGCGCCTCTGCACCACGCTCATACCGGCTTCCTTCCGTGCGAAGATTCGCTCAGTCATTCTCGCATAATTCACGGGGCCACATTGTCGTCCTCGTCGTCGTCGCTTGTAAGGGTGACGAGGCTGGGAAACGGTCGGGGTTCATGTTTTTTGGATAACTCACGAGAGTATCGACGTCGATATATATATATATTTTTTTTTTCATGTCAGACTTCAGTGTGTCCTTCGTGTTCAACCGAAGGTATTTGGAACTGAGAAAGTAAGATAATCTTATCATTCGACGTCTTTATGCGTGGTGCTAGTCATTTAATTCATGAATCATGTGCCACGAACAAAAGGAAAAAAACAAAACAATTTTTAGACTCAATTATCATCGCGTTAATGGTAGCTAACATCCGTACGTTCACCCACTCGCATAGTTTGGGGACAATGATGTTTGAAGCGTAACTAGTCGATGCCACGTGCTTTGTTATATCTAAACACCTTCCTGGTTTTTTTTCTCTGGAATCCAGTGAATATCCGGTGATTTACAGGGTAATTGGTGGCCTGATTTTTACTATTATGAAATTTAGACAAGTTTATCGATGACAAACAGATTGTTTGATAAATTTTTAGGATTACAACAAGAGCCAATATAGCACTGAAAGGAAAAAGGGGATAGGGGTGGGAAGCACGAGGTGAGGATGATGATGATAAACAAGAGAGACGGAACGACAAGAGAGTCGCGTTGAAAGCCGACACGGGACGCGCCGTCGTTACGCTTTTCTAGCT